GCACCAACTGAATCTGCGCCCTCATTAGGAACAGCTGAAGTTCTCTCTCTATTCAGTGGCTTGTCTTATTAGTTTTTATGACAAGATAATATCATAAATCACTATCAAATATAAATTCAGTGTTTAGTCGGAGCCTGGTTAAAAATGGGTTGCTCAAAGTTTTGTTATAAAATCCTCAATTGTGTCAACAACTAAACGGCAAGGGATACGAATGAACTACGTACGAATTCACTTGACTCTTTCTACCAAAGATGACACAGCTACTCAAAACTCCAAGCATTTAAATTCGCTTCTGCTCGTAGTAAAAAATACTTGTAGATTTATATGCCTCGGTTCAATTTCTTCAGATAACAAATTATAATTAAAAAGTACTAAATGGAAATACCCGATAGACTTAGTTACTGTAAAAACTTCCCTAGAGCTAACTAAACTAATTTATGTTTCTCATGCAATACTCTGTATGATTTATGAAAACAAATGCATTACCAAAGATACACAATATATTGTGTAACATTTCAGTGTGTAACACATCGATTTCAAAAGTTGAATGAAAATAAATTTTAATATCAAGTGGCTAAACGAGTCAGTCAAGATATAGAAAATTGATTAGTAAGCGGTTCTCGGTTTTTCGGGCTAAAAATATAAATCCTTTTAAATATTTGTACTTGGAATTGAATTTTTTGATAGTACGGTATTCATTGCCAGATTATCCACCATGTCCTTCAGTTCGATGTAAAATTGAAATTCAATCAAAATAAGGAATATTCCGTGAGGCCTAAGGAAATCTTCATTGACTGATATTGGTTTTCATTATAAAGAATGTCATAGTTTCATTAAATACTTTTAAAAAATGTAATCTATAGCATTTAAATTTAATGAACATAAGCTTCGGAGAACAACGTTTGCAAAAGTAATGGTCATGTGTGAGTGTATCCGATCAAATTGGTATGTTTTCGATAAACTCACCGACTGATTATCTCAAAATTGTTCGGAATGTAATTGCAACTGCATGTTGTTCTGTAATGTCAGTTACTTTGACAGTAAATGGAATTTTGCTATCTCAAACTCTCTCTGATAAGTTAAAATCTTCACATGTGATGAGGTTTCACATAGAACAAGCAGAAACTGGATTCCTGTATTCAAGATTATGATTTCTACGTTCCTACAGAATAGCAGTTTAAACAATGAAATAAAATGAATTAATGTAGTACTTCATATGTATTTTGTCTTTGAAAGAAGTGGTTCAGCAACTGTTAGAAAGAGACCCAAATACAAAATGTGAAATTTTTATAGTTATTCTTTAGCCAATATATGTGCGATTCCTTATAGAAGAAGCACCTGTTTACTTTATATTGGACTAAACGAATATCAAGCAAATGATTATAATAACCATCCGAAGATAATATTATAACGAGTAAGAAATGGTCATGACACGAAGTTACCTAAAGGTACTGAAGATCTGCATGTTAAGAAGGTTAAAAAAGGTCAAACACTTGTAGTCACAAAATGGTACTTCTAAATCTATTAATTGAATGTCTCAGTTTCACAGCTATACCTCCAGAAACTAATGAGATAACAACTAGTGCGATTCCTAATAACAGGTCTATTTGTAGCCTGATATGTTCAACAGTGTAATTGATAGAAAAAAGTAAGTTTAGAAGCACGAATCATGACCGATAACCAATGGAAGAAGTGTGTTAAGATCAGATAAGTAACATCGTGATTCAGATAAACTGTTTAGCAGTCAATAGTAAAGTGAAAAATTGCAGATTTTCTAAAATGTAGAAATATTAACGACGATTATTTACAAACCAAGTTTCTCTCAACCATCTCTATAACATTTATTTTATTGCACTTTCATGTGGTTGTTATGTTCGTTATCCTTAACTCGATGACCGAGGACTAATGGATTAAGTAAGAACTCGGATACGAATGTTCCTGAATGTCCACTTGAGTGGTTGAATTGATTGTAATATGCAGTAGCATTAAACAAAATCAAAGTACGATAAGATCGAATGGACACAACTGGACTGAAATATTGTTATTACTGGTCTAACACTAAAATTACACCTCTTTGTAATTGAACTTGATTTATATCAACACTAGTACTAGAATATTCACCAGTCGTATTATGATGAGACAAATCCAGGGTTGCAGTAAGTCGATGTAATCCTCATTGTACTAAAATGTAGCCAGAATGTCAATTAGTTAGCGTGTCCCAAATAATTGTAAGTTTATTTAGCGATGAAATATGATCGGCAGATAAATGAGAAATAACAGCTACACAGTAATCCATTGCTTTACACTTGACCTCCAGGTAATGTCAGTTTGTTTTGAAAACTTACTTCGAACTTGGTGACTTGTTTACCACTGAGTAAATAATAGTGGTTAGTGTTCGCATATAAAGATTATTTCTGACTTTTGAAAACGTCTGTTAACTTTCGTGTGCAAATTAGTGGAATGAATATTTTCATCATTTGTACACTAAATCGAGACATTTCAACATGATATCCAACAATGATATTAATTTGCTGAAAATTAACAATATTTAGTTACTTTTATTATTTTAAATCACTCACACCATTACTTCACGAAACTGTTTTTTCTATTTTTATAAAATGTTCATCAGATTGTGGTGACTCACATTCATCACGAGAACACGACTGGTTTAATAAAAATTATTATTATTATAACCAACTGTACCAGTGTTTGTTTTAATGTGCTTTTGTTTGACTGTGCTAATGACAGCTATTTTGTGCTTCCATTCTTATTCTTACACTTTGATTGTGACTTCGCGCGAATTCGGTTACGTTCCGTAACAAAGTTTGTATCCTGGCACGATCTCGGTATCCTTTCGATGCCACGAGATCGCCAGCGAATATATCTCGATTCGGTCCATTAACTGTCTTCTGATATTTGGCTTCTCGGCGATTTTATGGATTTATTTGGTTACGTTCAACCTTCGCCTTCTGATTTACTTGGCACGTGTTTCTTGGTAGCGGTGTTCATAGTCAATCTCGACTCGACGCCACCCTACAAGATATTAATTACATAAACTTTCTCATTCACAACATATCTAAGGTTTACAGTGTTTTTCTACTGAGAAAGCTTATATTTGTAGTTTCAAAATTCTCATTTTCCAATGATGTGATTATGAATGCATCTTATCGGAGTATATAGGTCCGTAATGATAGTCAAGAAAATATTATAAAAAATCAGTCGATGAAAAATGTACTACTTCATTTAATTAGAATATTACAGCTGTTCTGTACATGTACATGTGTAACATGTGTGTATTCACAACTGAAAAAAATTATGCTTTGTTTCAAGCTTTTCATTTTGCGATGAGTTTCGATAAATTACCAGCAAAAAATGACCCAGTTAACCTCAAAACTATGGTCATCTAGTTTCTGCGGTGAACAATTATGGTTATTTTGATACCCATGTAAATGTGGTTTATAGACGAAAGAAATAAACAAGAGGTCATGATATAATCGATTTCAGCAGACATGCGCACTACATGAAATGGGAAAACTGGTAGAAATTACCTTAAAAAAATTCATAAAATAATCATATGCAAAGCGGTAATGATAATGATGACAATAATAGTTAAAAACAGTATGATAAAAGCTAACTACTTGGATGGTTTAACTGATAAAGAGTTAAACGTCCTACTTATTAGTGTTAAAATAAGACTAGTTATCATAATAGTCGTAAATGAGAAATGAAAATTCGACGATGATTAAATGAATGTTGAATAGATGGTGGATGTCTGTAAAGGTAATAGGTCAAAATAAGCAAACCGAAAACTACATTTTTTCAAAAATATTTCCCGAAAGTATTAGGAAAAAGGATGGGAGTGAACTTGTAGTGAAGGAGAACACAGGTGAGGACAACCGAATTATATTTAGCACAAAATTACAGTTACTTGGTAAAATAGAAAAACCATACTATAATACCTAATTTGCGAAACGTTCAATAATTGTATTGGACTTCATTGTTCTTGCATTTCTATACTGATTGCTTTATAACCCTGTCCTTCCTTTCTTGATCTTCCCAATCTTCTGCTGCCAGACATTACATTCCTGACTCACTTTATATACTACTTATGTCAATATAAGTAGCACGCACCACAAACTGACTAACATGGCTTTTTTGACCATCTTTACCAAATCCCTGATTGTTTTAGAAGTCTGTAATGTGTAAATAATCCAAATTACTTGGGGCTCTTCATTGAAATAGACGATATACTTACGTTGTCTATGTCTTTGAAATGTTATTTGTATCCACTTACCACTTGTGAATTTACAATAATAGTGAAAGAATGTGAGTTTGACACTTCATTCGAAAGTACTACTCCTCTCCAAAATATCAAGAAAGTGATAAAATTAAGTCCTTAAACTGTTTATACTCTTAATATTAATGCTCGTATTTTCCTACGAGTACATGACGAAACGGTTTGCTTTGCTGTTTTTAACTATTGAAAGAATTGTGACTGGGATTTATGACAAACGTACATTTTAAGAACTCAAGTAATTTAAAGCAATTAGTCCCTTTTATAAATTTCGATAGGGCAACTCAGTTTTCTAATTGCTCTATCGAAACTCAAGTAATGTCTGCAGAATGAAGCCTAATTCAAAGAACTTGGGTTATCGCGAAATTAACTGTCATTCATAAAACATTAGTTAACGATTAACGCTGAATGTTGCAACCATAGTTAACCTTTTAATTAGAGTTCAACTTAGATTTCACAAACAATTCGATGTAAGAAAGTAAAATTGGATACGTTTAACACAAAATAATCAAATATCAACCACTCGACCTTATGTTGTCAAACGAGAAGTTTATATTGACCATATCTCACAACAAATTTACATGTGATACTTTATATTTACAAGACGTACGTACAAAGATCGTATCAAGATTGAAGTGAGGTCAATCAATTTCTCGCAATGAACAAAAGCAAAATTTTACAGCTACTATAAATACATATATGTTCTTCAATTTGTATCCATTTTCATAGAAATCTCTTCGTGTACAGACTTTGATGACTGTGTATACACCAAATCATCTGTGACTGAAGATAGCGAATCATCATCTACAAAAATTGATAATTAAATTAGGTGGCAGTTTATTTTAAATAAGACCTACCCTCGACAATTTTTTGTAAGCCCTTCAGAGCAACCAAAAACAAGTGGAATTGAGTTTTTCTAAGCTGAATTTTTCGGTCGTACTCCTCATTTAAATTCTCCAGTCGTTCTAAAGTAGCTTTTAATTTTTTATACTTCCTGTACACAAACAAAGAAAATCCCTTTTTAACAATATAGTACATTCAAAATACAAAAAACCATTTTGAAATAACTGACAAATACACTCATCGATAGTTTTACTGACAGTTTGTATACGGACAAAAAGCTAAGCGTATTCATCAACACAGTGAACTATTATTACCCGACCAATGTTTAAAAAAATACAAAGATATTTACTAATAACAATCTACCCAATGCTCAGTTTATTTGGAATTCAGAAAGATATTTACATGCCTGCCGTACAACATATTTGATATCCTAGACACGTTAAAAGTATGGGAAGTGGTAATTTATTTTAACAGCAAAATAATTACTTCCATCCTGTAGAGTTCAACGGACAGTTATAGACGAATAACGACTTTTGTTTCGATTATTATTTATTTCCATAACAAAAATTAAAACGTACTTCATTTACCAAGTACATATCATTCAGTCGGTAATTCATCTACAAAGTAGGACCAGGCACATATATGCATCGATCGAAATTGCTATGCCTCATTAGCACAACGGGATGAACACCAAATTCATAGAAGTAGTTACTTCAATGGCAGTAATATATACATACATATAAAGGTTGAATAAAAGGATATGATACGGAGAAAAAATTAGTTGATAAAACAGAATTAAGTAATTTTAATCTCACGGTTTAAGGGGAGAAAAAGTGTATACAACTACACCATTGTGATTGATTCTGAGCCATGTCAAACAGTCTCCAACCATCGGTTACGATAGTCGCGTGGACCCCAGCCAAGTAGTCTGCATCTACCAACATGGCTCAGACCAGAAGTCAGTAACTTTATGGACTGATACTACATTTTGATTTGGCCGCCCGTAACTATTCCATCAGTCTCCAACACTAGTCAGCATTGCCCGCCGTCGTAGTTGGTGGTTGGGCATGCGTAATACGTGGCCCAACCATCTCAGTCGATGAAGATTCACAATCTCATCAACTAATTTAACATCATTCCCTAATACCCTGCGCCTAGCCTAACTATTACTTACCCGGTGATCCATCAGGTGCTGGCAATATTTTTAAGACGTCTGTCATTGAATACTAGTGACTTAGGAATATATTCTACCCTTAATGACCACCATCTCGTAGCCATAAAGTAGGACAGAACGAAATACTGCACAGTATACTCGTCCTTCAATTGACAGACGGATATCTCGACTTCGACATAGGTAACGTAAGTTGGTAAAAGCCAAACGAGCTTCCTGGATCCATGCAGAGATTTCTTCAGACACCAACCCATTACGACTGATCAGACTTCCAAGATAATTGAAGTTGTCAACGCGTTCGACTACTTCACTCCCTATCCTTAGTTCAGGTGTTGACGCAGGCCAGCCCAGAAGCAACAATTTACATGTAGGGTGGGGGAAACGCACTCCAAATATCCCGGCATTGCTTCCCAGTACTACTAAGAGACTGAATTTTATTAGCGTCTTTACCAAACAGGACTCGGGTTTGAAATACATTTGTATTTGATAGCTAGCGATAATATACTGCTGTCCAAACTGGACAGGGTGGAACACGGTCTAACTGTCGCATAATGGATGAAAACCAAATGTGCTAATCACAAAGCCACCGACCCCTTAATTATCCATTGTTGCACGCTCCAATATCAGACATTTGTAGCCACATTTGTTCTTATGAGGCTTATTGGGTGAATAAATTCACAAATCAGTCAGTCAGTCAGTAACAACGTAGAACTTCGTACGTACGTACATCAGTTCGAGTTGCCATACCACATTAGCACAGAGATGCAGTTGTCGATTCAAATCCCGTAGTGGTAGAGGTAATAAGAGTATAAGCAGTAATCGGGAAGATTAGGGTTTGGAGATGTTATTTAGAGAGTATAATCCAGTGAAATAAATTTGGAAAGAGAAAAAAGAAAGGGACATGAAGAATTCAGAAGATTAGAATTTGGGAGAACACAGAGAGTGGATGCACCTGCGCCATTCCAAACGATTTTGAGCCATGTCATTCAGGGTCTATAACCATCGGTTGCTGTCATCTCGCGGTCTCCAACCAGGTAGTCTACACTTACCAACATGACTCAGTTCACTTGTCAGTGACTTCATGGACTTGTGCCATGTTTTGGTTTGGCCGCCCCTAGCTTTCTTCCAACCTACTCCTATACCACTGAACATAGCACGTCGAGGCAGTCGGTCGTTGGGCATACGTAACACGTGTCCCAGCCATCTCAACTGATGAAGTTTCACTACTTCATCAATTGATTTGCCATCCTTACCTAGTACCCGTTTCCTAACAACTGTGTTACTTATTTATTCACAAATCACTCGTCGGTGCCGCCCATTTTATGTAAGTAACCGCCTAATAGTTTTCCGGAAAATTAACTAAAATCTCTCAATAGAACAATTCGATGACAAATCACCGTATTCTACAACCGACCACTATATTAACTTGGAAAATGGTCAATAATATGAACACAGATGAACAGGATGAAACTCTTTGTGCTAAGAAAGGTTTTAAAAGGAAGGCGCCTTTTAACTCCAATAATCGATGAGTTAGAATCTAAGGTAATTTAGATTATAAAATAAAGGAGCACTACGATCATGATGTTGACAACGAAAATTGCAATAAGAAGTTTTCACCTGCTGTATTGACACTGGGGCGTAAGTCGATGAATAGTTCTTAATATAAAGCCACTGCAAAATATAGAAACTTACTCAAGTGTCTCATCTCTCTCTGGATGATCACAAAGAACTTTGGCAAGACTGTCATACTCTGTTGAAATAAGCTAACTACGCACCAAATTACCTCGTCTATTTTTCCTGACGGTTTTTGCGGACCTCAGATCTTCTTTACATTGCTGAATGCGATTTTTTGCACTTTCAATGGCCGTTTCTATGAGGATAATTTTCGTAGTTGCAACATACCAATCTCCTTATATAAATCCTCATACTGTTTTTGCTGTTCGTAGTTCATAGCTATTACTAATGACGACTGTTCCATGGCGTTTTCACACTGGTAAACACTAGCTATAAGGGCTTGATAGGCTTCGTAGCTGACCCAAATAAAGATTTCGGAAATCATTTACCCGTCTTCACCAACATCATCAGAAGCTACCCATCGAAGATAATTTTTCAGTAATAGAGTAATTCTGCGATCATCATTTCCACTTTCGCCTTCGATTAAAAGTCTTCTCTTTATGATTTCGTCTATACAAGTTGTAAACCACATAAAAATTATTGTACAACCAAACCATCTGTTACGGTGGACATCTGAAAACACTGAAAATCTTTATAGACTAAGTCGAATTCGCGTCTAGTATACGAACCAAAATTGTAGCCTTGATGATCTATATGGACATAAGAAAAAAGGTTGCACCAATAAGACTTAAAAATACCAAAACCAAGATGAAAATATGATCATAATCAGTTGCAAAGCACTGAACTGAAAAAATGTTGCAGGAGAACGCAATACCTGAAATTGTGAAGGGTTTTTATCAAATATCAGTTAACATAGAGCAGAGACCGAATGTATATTTTATCATGTCGAAGAAGAAACTTCTCACCAAGGTAAATCAAACCCAAATGCCAGAGTAAATAGTTAATGTAAAGGGAAAACTCTGAGCATAAGACACCTAGAACAAAAGGAACAGACAGCAAAAATGGTCGGTCGAATCTAATTGTTATCCTGCCATTAGAACAGACCTTATTACACACCCAAATGACGTCAAGTAGTTAGAGTTTGATAATTCGAGCAGCATATAAACTACCTAACGTATTAATTAACGAAAAATATCAATTTGGAGGCTAAAACCAACAATCCGCAAAAATATTCTGATTTATTACGTTCTGACCAAAAAGGTAAGGAAAGAGCTTCCATGTTATTATTTCAGCCAGATTTTTATCATTTTAGATGCTACTCGTATGTAGAACGCCACCAGAATACTCTGACCTATAAAAAAATCTGAACGGCACAAAAAAAGACGCCCAAATTTAAAAAGTCAGCTTTGAACTCATCTTGGTCATCCTGTTACTTCATACTTACTAAAACAGTGATGTGCTCAAAGCGGTTGCGAAAGCAATGTTTTATTGACGGTTCGGTATGAAGCTTCGAAATTTAACAGACTAGGAGCAAGAAAATGAACAGAATCTAGATTGGCACAGAAACCCAACATAAGAGCTTTGCTTTCAATACTTCAAATAGTGTCTAAAAAATCTGGTCTTTCATTCCTGTGGAGCGACAGTGTACTATTCACTAACGGCATATACATATAAACTGGACTGTTTGAGGGTATACGGCATATCAAACAATTATGCCTTAGATTTTACTTGCACTAATATAATCAAACCAAGTTCGAAGATGAGTTATTGTATTAAAAGTAAATGGGTCTACGTACATTACTTGGCGGTAGTATATGGGCTATCCTTGAGCTACTTTGAAGTGGCTAAAAATCTACTTTACTTACTTGTAAAACTTGTGACAAAAAAATTTAACAATAATAGTGGATGAACAGACTTAACAGGAATAATGAACATTTACACATGAATTGTTAGGATTCACATTATGGGTATATCTCGCACCGAAACCTGATCGGCTCACCCACGTACTTTATTTCTGCTACCAAATTAACAACACGATGAACGATAAGTAGTTTGTAAATTGAAGAGTTTGTGAGTTACAGAAACTGAAAAAGCCAGTGCCTACCTTTGACGAAATTGTGAATCTCAGGACTCTCTGACCTACAGTTAGTAACACTATCCAGTCAAGGTCAGTCTTCACTCATTCGCAATCCTCAATGTCAGGGATTGTTGGTCGGTTAACCTGTGCTAATTCTTGTAGCTCGTTTTCCAGTCGAGATCAAGGTCCTCTTCCAAAGTATTCACTAGTAGGGCTGATGACACTAGCTCGGATAGGTTGGCTCCAAACATTTACCACGCTGAGAAAAACGAACTCTCACTAGCAGTTTATTTGGTCGCAGTTTTTGGATCCTCCTGTATGACATCAAAGATGATCAGTTCCGAAGGGGACAGTAAAGTTAAGAAAATTGTAAGACCCAAATAATTACTTAAGATACGGTATGCTATTATAACGTAACTTTATGTTCTACGATTATTTAATGACATACGCCTCGTGTGCCATGGACTGTTAAAAGGGAATCTCTAAACAACTCTGTCCTGGGCTGTCGTTTTGAGTTGTCCTCAAGTACAGTCTATGTGCTATTCTGTCGAAAACATCTCCGGATACTAATAGTGGTTCGATTCCTTTGCAGTCCTAACGCTGACTAAGATCTCCTTTCTTTAGTATCATATTTCCTCCCCTTGCAGCTTTCTCATCTGTCACTGCTAGATCTACGCGTTTTTGCTCGTCTGCTCCAATATCCCTCTCCACACTCTTGTTTGCTCCCATGTATTCCGCCTGTGTCTCTGGTTTTGCTGTTGTTACTTTATGCATTCTTGTTTTTCCTTTCTTGAATCCTGCTCAGAGTATCGACAGAGATTCACTCTTTATGGCGGTGTTTATTGTGACCTAACAGCTCCTAGTAAGTTGGAGCTGGATTTTGACTTTTCTCCAGAAGCTTTCTTGGGATTGTCGTTTTCTCTCACTTTTGTAGTGTTGTTTGTCTAACTATTCAATGTCTGTTTTGTATTAATTCTAATCTGGCCACCACCAGGGGGTGACCTGAAGCTGTCAGCTCCTCTCTTTTTCCTCGCGTCCTCCATTTATCTTCCGAAGTTTTACTCATCCAGAAGTGGTTGATCTGTTTTTCTGTAACTGGAGGCGATAACTCAATCGAAGCTTGGTTCTTCAACCTTATCGATGACTTGGGCTTATATGAAAATGTGAGGTCGGCAACTCGTTGGAGAAACAGTCAGACACCATCGCGCTTAGACTGTGTATTCACTAACGAAGAATTCCTAGTCGACAACCTCTCAATCCTGGCTCCTCTGGGAAAGAGCGATCATGCCGTCATAGCCTTCAGTTTTGTCATCAAAACTAAGCTAAGGTATCCCAACAATAATTTGCGTTGGAATTTTAAACGGTTGAATGTGCCAGCTCTACACGACTATCTACAACAGATGGTTCGGGATATTCCCCCCCCCCCACATCACGACGTGGACGGGCATTGGGACTTCTTACTGCACACGCTCTTACGTGCTACAAAATCATTCAGTTCCTCAAACGGTTCCCAAAAGCTGCAAGCCACCTACAATAATCAAGAACCGTACCCTTCGCCTGCTAAGCCGAAAAAGGCACTGTTGGGCGGAATACAAGCGAACTGACAACGACGGAGCGTACAGGCAATATAAACGAATCAGGAACATATGCACGAAGGCTATAAGAGCAGACAGGCTCCAGTACCAGACAAAGCTTATGGACAAATTTGCCTCTAATCCTAAAAGCTTATTCCGTTATGCAGCCTCTCTTCGTCAAGCCAAAACTGGAGTTTCCCAACTGGTAGCTCTCAACGGCCCGACCAACAACCATGGCGACGCCGCTAAACTTCTGGCTGAACAATACTCACAGACATTTCGTCCGACCAATATTAACTTTACTGATGATAGTTTCGTTTGCGATTCCACAGGACTCTCCGAAGTGAACCTAAGCGCTGACTTGGTGTTCCGGAAATTGCAGCACTTAAGATTAGACACTTCTCCTGGCCCGGACATGGTCCATTCCGCTATACTGAGGGAAGCAGCCTCAATCTTGGCAACGCCGCTTAGCATGATGTTCTCACACTCGCTAAGTCGAGGAAAACTACCGGAAATTTGGAAGCCGACTCACATCGCACCAATTTTCAAAGGAAGTCGACGCAGCGAACCTTCAAGTTACCGACCGGTGGCTCTTCTCTCCATACCTTCAAAAATCATGGAGTCCCTGATATGTGATGGTATAAACGACTATTTACTGTCCTTAAATTTCCTCTCACCCCAACAGCATGGTTCCAGGAAGGGCTACTCTTGTGTAACCAACCTGCTGACTGCGGTGGACAGATGGACAAGCATCCTTGATCACAAGGGGAAGGCTGATATCATCTACCTAGACTTTTCAAAAGCTTTTGATAAGGTTAACCATACATGTCTTATCAATAAGCCCAAACGATTGTGTATCATACCACCTCTAATCGATTGGCATACTTCATACCTGAAAGATCGACATTTTAAGGTCAGGGTTAATTTCACTTTATCTCAGGCTACGGAATGTCCTAGTGGGGTCCCCCAGGGCTTAGTACTAGGACCTCTTCTCTTCCTGATCTACATAAATGATCTTCCTCAACAGGTATCGTCAGATTTATTATTTTTTGCTGACGACGTGAAGCTTTGGAGAGAGATACGCAACCAAGACGATATGCAGGCACTCCAGGAGGATCTGACTCGACTTCAAAGTTGGGCAGACGATAACGGACTTACCTTTAACACTTCAAAGTGTAAAGTAGTCCATCTGCGACATGTCGCAGACTACAGTTATAACTTAGATAACTCCTCTCTAGTAGTATCCGAAGTCGAAAGAGATTTAGGAGTCTTGGTGCCCTACGATTTAAAGTCTTACGCTAACTGTGACAAAAATGCCTTCAGAGCAAACCTTGCACTGGTAACATTGAAGCGCATTTTTGGCCAGTTTGACGGAAGAACTTTCCATATAATCTTCAATAATTTTATCCGTCGCCATTTAGAGTACGGAAACATAGTATTTCCCTCCTCACTCCAAAAGGATAAGGACACCCTGGAGCGTATTCAACGGCGAGCCACGAAATCAGTTCGGGGACTCAAATTTAAACCTCATGAAGAGCGCCTCCTATCATTTAACCTTTAACCATTAGAGTATAGACGTCTTAGAGGTGATTTATTAATGGCTTAAAGTATCCTTAACACTTCTGGACATCTCAAACACCTACTTAAGCTTAGTCCCGATACCAACCTAAGGGATAACACCCAGAAATTGGAGACACAACAAAGCAGAACGGACTTAGACACAACTTCGACTCCTTAAGAGTTGTCAAATGCTGGAATTCGCTGCCGGCCGAGCTAGTCCAAGAGACTTCCCAGGAGTCCTTTAAGAGGCAACTTGATCTATTCTTAAGGACTAAGGATAGTATCGCACTATGATTTATCAATTTCTTTTCCTGTTTTCTTGTTAACATACCTAGGTTCCTGCCTGGAGATATTGGTGATCCCCTGTTACTGCACACGGAAGCCTGTTAAGCGAAAGCTTCTTCTATTCCGTCCACAACCATTTGAACCATTTGATTCGGTCAAGCCCATGTAGTTTTGCATATACACTTGTAGGGAAGAATACAACTAACCACAACCATTTTGTTTAGAGCACAAGTTTATCAGTCGGTCACTACTGTTGGTCCTTTCTTCAAACCCCTGTCACCCCATTATACGTCTTTACTCAGTTCCTCCCATCCTGACTCGACGTTCAGGTCCTCCATCAGTATAACCACGTTTCTCCCTGTGCATTTCTATGCGATAAACTGGAGTCTCTGATAAAAAGTGACTTTATCATTTTCACTACCACAATTTGTGGGTGGGCAGCACTGGACAACAGTCGTCGTGATCTCTTCCTTGTTTGTCTTGAAAGATGTTTTGGTGATTCTGGCGCGTGGGTTTCTCGTCTTCTAAACTCTTTTCGTTCTTCTGACAGAGTTGGAAGAAATAATTGCTTGTGAGAGATTTTCATCCTCATGATCAGAATACAGCAGAAACTCTCTTAAAGTCACTCTTTTCTTTACAGACGCAGTCCACTGAATTTCACTTCATTTACTTCACTTTAAAAATGGCTAAGTTGTATCTCCACACTCTTGCAGCTATTTAAATGGGTCAGTAGACCTCCCGGTGTACGTTCACGCGATCAGACCATATTACTTGTTGCTCTGGTTGTTAAAGAGGTCACCAACCTCGTGATATCCTAAAGACTTCGGCTTTCATAACGAAGCGTCACAACTCTGCTATGTGAAGACACATCAACTACCAGGACAGAGTTTTAATGGTCTAAATGAATCTAGCAGTAAGCGCTGTTCTACCAAGGTTCCCGTTTTATGAAATAAAGTTTCCGACAATAGTGAAATTCCCTCTTTTACCTGTGTCGACACATGCGTTAACAGAAGAACGGCTCCATGCAGAGTTGAACACGAGATCATAGCGTTCAACAGTCAACCAACATTTCTGAATACTGCAATACTCAGAAGTATTTGAACTATAAATTAAGAACCTAGAAGTTTGAAAATGTGACATCAAGTTATTTAGACTTCTAAATCATTTCCATGATTCTCGGTCACCATACAGTCAAAAGATGCTGTCATGCAATGTCGTACCATTCAGTGAATCATAGTTACTAACTACAAATGTCAAATAACTAAGAATCAACAACAATACTACCCACCTCTGTCGATTAGAATCGAGTTGTACAATAGGGTTGTGCAACGCAACAAAGAGTAGTAGCCAATGATTGCACCACTCTACAATGTTGAGTTCGTTGATGCATGACCCATTGTCAACATTGCGGTCTCATACAATAACAGAATAACAACCGTATGACGAATACTGAATAGAATCGAATTATAAATTTTCAGTGAAGGAAGATTTATGAATATGAAAATATTGCTGAACAATTCTTGAAAAATAGTTGACATGTGCAGTGGTAGAAGAGAGAGATAAATTCAAGAATAAGTAGCTATACTGTCAAATAAGACACTTCAGACGTGATTTTCAAAAGACTATTTCTGTTATACGCATGTAAATCATTGTATGTTGTTTCGCATTGTGAATTGCAATTGGGGAAACCGTAAGGACTTTTGAATCAGTAGGTCTGCTTCTGTTGTCAGGATTAACACAGGTCTCTCAGCCTCCTGTTGTTGGCGACTGAAACTACTTCGTTTTCAAACATGTGTATTCGTACTAAATGCACTACCATGACATATGGTATTGAATACTGTGTAGGGCCAGTGAAATGTCACTGAGCCCTAGCCAAATCATCCGGCAGTTGGATCACTGAATGTCGAACAGATCATCGCTCCCTGCCAAGGTCATGTACAAGAAACGCGCATTAGTTAATCATACGCCATGGACTGGCCCATGCGGCAGTGGTCTTACTTTCGCTTGTATCTACTTTAATTAATATATTTCTGTAATAACGTCCTTTGTGTTGTACAGTCTTCAAAGCATTTATAGTACCTTGTTACGTCAATGGGGGTAGTCCACGTAAGGTGCTGACCACGAGGTGTGACTTCGACGTTAGTTGGTTCGTCACACTATTCACGTCTAACTCGAGTCGGCCTCCAATCATTTCGACATAGATCATCTACGTTGGTGATCTACACTGGTGAGAAAGACTTCGAATAACGCAACCTATCACTATAATCTTTATTATTGTACTCTATACTTATTCTTTTTCATTTTTATCATCGCCTATGTTAATCTGTTACTGTGAACTTTCGTTGCTTCATGTCAATGTTGATTAGCATTTAAACCTAGATAATTCGTTCAATCGACAGAACTAACCAATCAACTACGATTATAATCGGCTATCGTGGTTCTTTAACAAGCATTAGCAGCATGTAAATGCTCCTGTGTAATATGTCTGTTAAAATATCAACCACTCGTGAGTATAGCCACAAGGCAACACGAACGCATATCTCTTTGTACCTTATCCACTGGTATAAATAAGACAAGATTAACTATCGACTATAAATTCATCTTTCTGCTTAACCATTATCCACTAGAATGTTCTGCTTTTTTTACCACTGCCTGCCTAATTTCCAATTGCTGAGTTCCATGGCCAAACAGAGGATACGGATGCTAGAAATTCACGGTGAGTTTGAACTATAAATTTCCTGCGATCTTAGATCTCGTTTAGACTGTTCGTCAGAGTAATGCTATGTATTCGGCTTAAATTAATTCTGGACTTATACCGATTCAGTCTACAATGCTGTGTTAATCGAAAAATTTAATCAACAATACCTCGTACACAATCCAGATTCAAACTACTGCCTACTTCATATCTTCATTACTTAGAGGCAAGAGTAACCCAGGCGAGTTTCATAATTTCATTAGATTATTTCGCACTATATTTATGATGCGTGATAACATTTCGTAGTTGTTTTCACGTAAACCAGTCATATATTCTGTCACTGCCGTCAAGTTTTAGTCGAAATCATGTACATTTATGACTCGTTAGTCGACATACTGTGGTAAAACATATTGCATGTACACGAGCACGCTTAGTCCATGTCCCAAGTACACACGTTGTCGTACTTAATATGTCACTTAACGCTAGGTAATAAGCTCTTTGTATCAGCCTTTTACGAAACGGCCACGTTACGTGGACCCTCTAAACCTTAGTTACATTGGTGGTTACCATTTTAATTAATGTTTATTATACCCTTTGTATTTGCTATTAATTCACACGGTAAATCATGGCTCGATTTCCTTATTACACGACAGTCATTTCAATTCTATTTTCGGTTTATTTACATGCCATACGGGTTTGGAAAATATCTAAACGTCCTCGAAAATTCCCCACGAACCCAACCATAGTTTTCGTATATGTTTTTATTCACACATCCAACTGTTACGCTAATCATACCTAAACGAACGTTCAGTGCAACTGTCAGTATACGTAAGAACGATGTTATTTAGACTTGACATTGTAACACATCTGAACTATTGTAGTTGTTCTACTTCGATGTCGTACTTCATTTTATGAAGTATTGTTTCCTCGTGGCTGTTAATTAACAGATGATTCCGGTACATCAATAGGCTGTTCAACTACTCGACGATTTACAACCTGTCCAGTTCAATTGGTGGTCTGACGACAATATCATTCGCGCGAATCACCAGTTTATGCAGTCGAGCGAATCTCCTGCAAACTGAAAACGATATTGTCGCCTCTATCCCAACACTGACAGCGTTTTTCACGGGTATCATTGACATGAGTCCAGAGTGACACTCTTGGTTTCTTATGTTCTTTTCGATATTTTTCTGTTCACTAAGCGAACAAACACGCGGCATTCACCGTTTATCATCTTTTAGAGACTTCATCGTGCCACTTTTGCTGTCGATTTGTAGCCTTCAACCCTTACTGACTGTAACAGCAGTCATCGACTTTTCAAACTGTGACTACAAGTTGGTCAATAGCTTCGCACAACGAAATCACGACCACTCTTCACTGTTATACTTCTGTACTTACGGTTAGTCTGTTAGATATAGATATAACTAGAATTTGACACTAATTAATAGCTGTCAACGACACTGTTCGACTTACAACTTCAAACTAATGACAGTACAAATATGGATATCGATTGATAATACACTTATCCTACTATCGCTATAGCATCATTACTCTTGCGGCAGACTTAACGTTTGTCATCGGAGGAACTGAATTACTTGTCAAGGCTATATATTTCAGCGCGACTTGATAGAACAATAAAACGTTTTGTTCTTTTCATTATTTCTATGGTTAATCAATTTACGTTTAAGCAACGTCCTACTAACATATTATGACTCGCTGTTTCGCGACCAGTTTCTGCCGCCTCCTTTCCATTTGTTTTACAGATAAGCAATACCTGGAGGATTTATAATATTCGTCTGGCACTCTCCGGCGCGCGACTGCTCCCAACATGTTTGGTACCGATTCAAACGGCCGCTGAATCTGGTGGGGGAGTATTGTAGGGCCAGTGAAATGTCACTGAGCCCTAGCCAAATCATCCGGCAGTTGGATCACTGAATGTCGAACAGATCATCGCTCCCTGCCAAGGTCATGTACAAGAAACGCGCATTAGTTAATCATACGCCATGGACTGGCCCATGCGGCAGTGGTCTTACTTTCGCTTGTATCTACTTTAATTAATATATTTCTGTAATAACGTCCTTTGTGTTGTACAGTCTTCAAAGCATTTATAGTACCTTGTTACGTCAATGGGGGTAGTCCACGTAAGGTGCTGACCACGAGGTGTGACTTCGACGTTAGTTGGTTCGTCACACTATTCACGTCTAACTCGAGTCGGCCTCCAATCATTTCGACATAGATCATCTACGTTGGTGATCTACAACTGTATTAGTACAACGCATTTTGACTAAAGGAATGTTACACATAATATAACACTACTAGAGGTACAAGTTCGCGTTCAACAAGTTTAAAACTGATTACAATCGAATATAAATATTTGAATGTCATCATTATGTTGACCAACTATTCAGTTATTCGCTAGAGCATAATTGCAAGTATTTATTAATATACTCTGGTGTCAGCATGTAAAAATTGAACCTGAAAAATCCGACAACTCATTTCTGTCAGGTCATGCGAGAGAAGTGTTGCTATAAAATGTAACACCGATTTAGGCATATATTACTTTGAACTTCAAATTTTTTGGACTGATAATTTGATTATGTATGCAACTCGACGCAGACAGTTCGGAGTTATTTTATGGAAAGTTCCTTCTTATTAAGAGGTTATATTTAATACATCATATGATTATATATATACTCACACTAAAATTCGATCTCCTGTTCTTCACTTCTTCATTTATTTCGACAAGATATCCGCACTCCCACAAAGAGTGCAGTCATATTCACGAATCGAAAGCATCTGTTTGTCCATCGTAACTTTATTCTCCAGTTTTCGACTGGTCAAACTCTGCCATTCGGTACTGCTGTAATTGTGTGCAACTGCCCTCGTTGTTGCAGAAGTAGGGTAATAATATTGAAACGGATGCAGTGTGAAGTGAAAATTGCGAATTCAAGTGTATCGATTTCCTCATGGTTGTGACTGTACGTTTTTGTTGACTTTACTCAGTGGCTGAACCCATCTTCATAATATTCTGTTTACTGCTTATATCGAATCAGCAAAAGTGGTACTTCAACATCGCCAATTCAATGTTTGCTTGCAAGTCATTTTGGTCGCAGTTAGCGCAAGACTTTAAATCATTGGGTAAAAGTACTTCTAAGTCTTTCTCAATTTGAGATATCTCGAGAGTGGAGTTGCTTAAGTTGTATTCGTAGTCGACCACATGTCTAAGATGGACTACTTTAAAATTAGAAGTGCGAAAAGTAATAAATCAGACGACACCAGCTGTGGGAAACCGTTTATATAAATCCATGAGTGAAGAAGTACTAGTACTGAAACCTTGGGGATCCCACTAAAACATTCTACAGCCTGAGAAGAAGTAGGATTAATTCTGACCTTAAAACATCAAATTTTTGGATACGAAGTGAAGTAATCCATTAAAGGTG